ACTTGGATAACAAGTATCGAAATTGTGAAGCTCCCAAGGTCTTCGTCAAGATGTCAGAGAGTTGCTCATGAGTCCGAACATTGACTGTATCTATCAACTTGGCTTTAACCGCATCCCTCACACTGTGACAATCCTTCTCTATATGTTTTGTACGCTCGTGAAAAACAGGGTTTGCCTTAATGTAAATAACGGCTTTGCTATCACAAAACAACTCCATAGAAGTTTCATGCTTGACACCAAGATCCTCCAAAAGTCTCTTCATCCATTTGAGCTCCTTCAATGCGTCTAACATAGCATGGTACTCGGCCTCTGCAGATGAGTGTGAGACTGTTTCTTGCTTCTTCGTTTTCCACGCAACCGGCGAGTTCCCAAGTAATACCATATACGCCGATAATGATCTTCTGTAAGTGGACATGTGTCGTAATCCGCATCACAATAAGCCCTTGTCTTCAAATCACTATCAGACCTCAGCATAACGCCTTGACCTGGACTTCCTTTAAGGTATTTCAAAACTCTCATTGCAGCATCCCAGTGAGCTTCTCTTGGTTCATGCATAACTTGAGATAACACATGAACCGCATACGACAAATCTGGTCTTGTTATAGTTAAGTAAACCAGTCGACCTACAATCCTTCTAAACCTGACAGGATCAATACACAGCGGACTCTTATCTCCCAGCAACTTATGGTTTAACTCCATAGGTGTAGCCACCGGTTTACTCCTAAGCATTCCTGCCTCACTTATTATATCCAACGCCTATTTGCGCTGTGACAAGAACATTCCTTGGGGAACTCTCGCTATTTCTATACCAAGGAAATACTTAGCCTTCCCCAAATCTTTCATATGGAAGCAATCACTTAGGTACCTTTTAAATTTCTCCAACATGACCAGATTATTGCTCGTGACAATCAAGTCATTAACGTATATCAGAACTCGTACACTCTTATCTCCTTTGATATATGTGAACAACGCATAGTCCTCATACGACTGTACAAAACCAAATCCTGTAAGAGCTTTTGTTAACTTCTCGAACCAACATCTAGGAGCTTGTTTTAGGCCATACAAAGATTTGCGCAGTCTACACACTTTTCGTGGATCATCAGAGTTGAACCCTGGAGGCAGTCTCATGAACACTTCTTCTTCTAAATCTCCATGTAAAAATGCATTATGAACATCCATCTGGTGCACTTCCCAGTTCTTTGCCACTGCAACTTCCAAAAGAGTTCTAACTGTACCCATCTTGACCACCGGCGCAAACGTTTCCTCATAATCCTCACCTTCTATTTGATGATTTCCACAACAGACAAGTCTCGCTTTGAACCTTTCTACAGTCCCATCTGCATTGTATTTAATCGTAAATACCCACTTGCTACCAATGGCTTTCTTCCCCTTAAGTAGATCAACTACATCCCATGTTCGACTTAACTCAAGCGCATCCACTTCTACCTTCACTGCTTTTCGCCATCTAGCATCTTTAAATGCTTCCATATAACTCTAGGGTATTAACCCGGCACTCACAGTCGCAAGGAACACTTGATGAGCATCTGAAAACTTAGCATCACTCACATAATCAGTAATCGGGTAAAGACTTTTACCTGGAACCATTTTCGACGACTCTGGTGGAGACTCGGTGCAAAAGATGGTGTTATGTTTATCGTGAGCACTGATTGCGTTCACACGGTGTCTCTTCTTGAAGTAACTTTGATGGGGTCCGGTTTATAAGGTGAGCTGCCGCCAACACACTCTCTTCCCAAAAGCGAATAGGTAGATTTGCCTGGAATAATAGTGATCTTGCAACGTTCAAGATATGACGATACTTCCTCTCTACTCTGCCATTTTGTTGTGGTGTTCCCACACAAGATGTCTGATGCAGAATGCCATGCTCCGCAAAGTACTTTGATAAGCACATAAACTCTCTTCCATTGTCACTACGAACCGTCTTAATCTTTCTACCAAATTGTCGGCTTGACAAGCTAATAAAGTTTGGGATAACTGTTTTCACCTCACTCTTTTCAAGAAGAAGATGTATCCACACCGCCTTGAGTAGTCGTCAACAATTGTGAGAAAATAGACTGCACCACAAGATGATGGAACACGATATGGACCCTATAAATCAACATGTATCAAATCAAATGAACCCAAGATTTTATTAGAACTTTTGGAAAACAACTCTCTTGTCTGTTTAGACTGAAAAAAAATATCACATCCTCCGAATTTGGTAGGAACGTCTTTAACACCAGAAACAAAAGGTAAATAACTCAAAACACCAAATGCAGGATGTCCCAGCCGTTGATGCCACAAAGTCTGATCTTCCGACGCCTTGACTTGATGACCTCTCGTGACTGACATCTCGATAAACATAAACACCATCTTTTACTTCACCGGCTCCAATTAGAGTCCTCGTAAAACGCTCCTGCAAAAGACACAAAATATCAGTAAACATGGCAAGACAACCAGTCTGCCTAAGTAATTTTGCAACTGATAACAATGTACAGTTCAAATTTTGAACATAAAGCACATTCTGCAACGTGAGCTTTTCAGACAACTTTAAGCTACCACTCTTTGTTGCCATGACATGGCTTACATCAGCAAAACTCACATGACAAGGTATCATACTCCTAATTCAGTAAGTAATGTAATATCTCCTTTCATGTGATGCGATGCACCAGTATCTATGATAACTTCACCTGTCTGTACCGTACCATTCAACTTATCAGGTATTGGGGACAGTTTTTGACGCTCCAGAAGTGAGGTAAGTGATGCCCATTGTTCGGCACTTAGTGAAGGGAAGCTCGAGTTCTGATTGTTTGGAGCTGCGGTTGCTTGCGCTGCAGTTGCATTAGCTATGGAACTATTAGATCTTCCTCTGCCTCTGCCTCTGCCGCCTCTTCCACCTGACTGATTACGATCAGTAAACCATTCAGGGAATCCAATAAGCTGCCAACACTCCTTCTTCTCATGACCAGTTCTTCCGCAATGACCACACACCACGACACTTCGTCCTCTAGCCACAGAATCCATAACACCACCTGCCATTGCTTCTTCTTCTACCTTCGTATTAAAACCAACCGGCACTTCTTTGGTCTCAATTCGTGATGCTCCGATCCTCTTCTCTTCACGTACTACTCGTTGGTATACTGAGTTAAGATCAGGAAACGTCTCCGATCCAGTGATTGTCGTACATACATTGCCATACCTAGCCTCATCCAAACCCATAAGAAACTGATGCACCTTTTCCTCTTCATATTCCTTGGCATACACTTCAGATGCCGCACATGTACATGACGAGAGAGGTTTACATCTCAACAATTCTTCCCATTTTTTGGATAACTTCCCAAAATACTCCATCACACTCGAACCTTCCTGCTTACATGAGGCTAACTCAGCCTTGAGTTGATGAACACGAACGGCACTCCCCACCGAGAAGCGGGCACTCCCCACCGAGAAGCGCTTCTTAAGTTCACTCCACATCTTACACGCATCAGGTGTAAACAGTACTGTCGATCGAATGGTAGGTGAGATTGACGCTCTTATCCACCCTACAATCATTGAATTTACTGTCCTCCATAGCTCTGTCTCCTCCGGATTCTCTTTCACATCAGGGATCTTCAAACTTCCATCAATAAAACCAAACTTCCGTTTGGCTCTAAGTGCATTCTCCAGTTCTGAAGACCATTCAGAATAGTTATCTCCCGTTAAAACCTTAGGAGAAATACATGTTCCCGGATTGTCAGATGATGCGAGGTGGTATGGTGATCTCACTGTCTCCACACCCTTTGACGTACTTACAATCGATGTCTTCTCTCCACTCATACTTTGTCTCTTACTTAAAAAAAAATTACTCTGATCTTGCCTTTGTTGGCTCTGATACCATGAAAGAAAGAGATATGGTGAAGAGTTCTTGTTATTATTCTCAGTCACAATGGTGACTTATATACAGACGTTAATACGCGTTGAGCGATATACGCAAATCTCTATCATATCTACCGATATCTACTCATACTTATCCTCATAACAGAACCATACAATACATATTACGTAAGTCGGTTCTAGAACCATCTAGACCCTTCCTTAACAGTGAGAAAGGGATTTTTGTCCCCATCATTGGTTTGACCATGACCAATTAATTTTTGTAATATTTATTAATCTCCAATATTTTTATTAGATTGCATCAAACAATGATAACCCTATCAACGATTTCACGATGTTGAAGTGTCTACACCAACAAGCACGCAGGAGAATTCAGGATCCAGTTATGTCTGAATTATATGACATCATCTTGGCCGAAGCTTTTTGTGTCTAAAGATGAATCTTTTGCTTCTTCCAACCTAACTCGAGAGCGACTAAACAGTCATGTTCTTGTTCTTAAGGTACATTTCCAAATATTTTATTTATATTATAGGTCTAAGTTGTTATTATAAGGACAATTCTTTCAAATGACACTAAAATAAAAATCAAAATAAAAAAAGCTAACAAAAATAAGAAAATGATCAAAACATGTTTCATTAAAGAGGTAAAATACTTTTATTTTTAACAACAAAATACTTTTATTTTTTTTGTAAAAAAGAGACTTTTATAATCTTACTTTATAGATTTTTAAATATCTACAATTATTTAAGGAAATATTAAAAAATAAAACATTAATTTTTATATTATTCTGACTAACACGTTTTTGAATTCGAACTTTTTTATTTTTTGCAAAATATTTGTTTTACATAAATATTTTGAAATCCGAAATTTTTTGTTGACTAGTTTTAAAACTTTATTTTGAATTTTTACTATTTATGTTAAAAAATCTTAAACCTCGCCCTAGAAATTTTTTCATAAAACAATTGGAACATATTTTCTCAAGAAACGCACAAAGTGAAGAATACAACAATGTGTTGACAAAAGATTTGCACTAACAAAAGTCAAGGTGCTGTTGATGTTAACAGAGCAACCTTTGTTTCTTTTTGGTTCGATGCAGAGTAGATTTAATAATCAATCTTGATAGACTAGTAGAGAATCAATAATCATAACCATTAACTGTGAGGCTTTTACAAGATTGAAACAACAATAAGCAGAGCCTAGAGGAGGGAGTCTCCACAAAATGCTCTGTGTTTTTTAACTCTTGAATCTGAATCGTAATCTGAAAGCCAAACAAACATATTATCATTCTGCTTCACTTCAGAGAATAAACATAACTCGTCTTGACTCTTTCCTCGGTAAGCCCGACTAGACCCGGTATCTATTCTTGTGGAGGGTGATTCTGAAGATATACCAAGCCTCAGTGATAAATCGCAGAGCCTCTCTGTTGCTTCTTCCGGGGCCTTTATACAAATAGGCATGCCAATGATTATGGGCGTTTCAGGGCCTCCTAAAGACATGTCCACTTGCTCATTACCTCCGTAATACAAAGGATAGACTGAACCCAAGTTGATTGGAGCTGAAGCTGGAGAAGTGCTAGTCCCTAGTTTTCGAGCCAATGGTTTTTGCTGAATCGGCATGGATTCATGTAGAAACGGGTAACCGCGAGGAGGAGGAGCTACATGGATGTTGCTGTTAACAGAAACATCCACCGGGATTGCCGCTTGAACAGTATGGCATGGTTTGGTCGATCTTTGAGCTTGATGATGGTATTGTTGGTCATCAGTGGAAGCAGAAACAGGTTGTTGGATCTTGGGAGTCAGGTAAGTCCTAATGTTACTATGTCGTTGGCTTCTTGAAGCTCTTACAGCAATACACCCAAGGTTAAGAGCAGCTGACCACAGCCCAAAAAAAAAAAAAAACACAATAAACAGTTCAAATCAGAACAACTGAATAAACAGATTAAACGTAAAACCTCCTCAATTTGACAAGTTTACAGAATTGCAAGCAGTTACCACCATAACAATAAAGATATAGAGCAAGATTACCTTCAACACAAGGAGGCAAAAGAGGGCCAGTTTCAGTGCTTTCCTCTCTTCTGATAATGGTGTCAATAGCATCATTGACTCTATTCCACATAGTATCAGTATCTGTATACTCTTCCTAATGGGAATCACAAAACCCAAACTCAGCTTGAATGAAGCACAAATAAAAGAGAGGAGGAAGTTGTAAGAAGAAGAAGGAACCTCGGAACTGGCTTTAGAGTAGATGATTTCCTCGGCTTTCAAGACAACAACAGGCAACTTCTCCTGCCATTCTTTGTTCTTCCTCGTACCCACACTGTGAGCTTCCATGGCTAGTCTGAATTGATATAAACCCAAAAATTTCAAAAAAAACCCTAAAAAGGAGTTCAGTAATTGGGAAAGGTGACAGAGAAAACCTGAAGATCTGGCGGATGATGGAACCTCGAATGGGTTGGTGACGATCGCTATGCCAAGCTCGTTTCACACACTCGTAAGGTCTTGCACCTGGCCTAGGCATATCTTCTTTCTTCAAAACTCAAAGTCGTGTTAAATAGATCTGAAACTTTGAAGCCCTCTCAACCTTTCATTTAGTCGTCGCGGAATCTCCGTTGTCACTCACTGCGTCTCCATCGTCGCCGTCCTTCTGTTACTCTAAAAACGAAACGAACCGGTTTTGGAGTTTACAATTGTGCCCCTCATCATATAAGGTGTCCTTTCTATATAGGGAAAGCAGGTTCGAAAGCGTAGGGGACTAAACCGAACTCAAACGAATTTTATTATATAAAAAAAAAACTATTCTTGGGTTCATCCTCCGCCAACCATTAGGATTAGGGCTGAGACTTAATACCCGCTATCCAAATCGGGATTCGCTCTGATCTGCTCCAAAAAAAATGGATATCTGGGGTCTGGATCCGAATCCGGATAGTGATTTTAAGGATCCGACAAATCCGGATCCAGATAGTGAAATTTTTAGTCCAAATATCCAGATCCGGATTCGGGCCCACTAAATATTTTTAAAATATTTAAAATATAATTGTATTTTATATAGGTATATTAAATATTTTGTTATTAAAAATAACTAAACTTAATTTTATTATTAAATTATATTACTTTATTTTAACTTTTTGCAAAATAATATTTTTAATAGAATAAATAAATACTTAATTTTTTATTTAATTTAATATTTTTTGTTTTTAAATAGATCCGGATAACAATTTTACGAATCCGTCGAATTCGGATCCGGATCCGGATATCCTAAAATACCCCGAATATACGCTCCGTCCCAACTCCTAGCCCTAAATAGGATGGTGTTATTTTATATTTAGTTTATTTTTAAAAAGTAAATAGTTACTTGTTAAGTTATATTATGTTTTTAAAATAAGTTACAAAAAAATAAATTAAAGATAATAATATTTACAAAAAATAAAATTAAAATTAAAAATATATTTTAACACTAAAACACTAAAACACTAAATTTTAAATCATAATCCTAAACCCTTGGATAAATCAGAAAACCCTTTGGATAAATCAGAAAACCCTTTGGAAAAATCTTAAATATTAAATTCAAAACAATTAATACTAACTAATTATACTATTTTTTATTTATTTTTATTTTTTATTTTAAAAACATAAAATAATGTAACGATATTTTGTTTACATTTTAAAGATATGTTAAAAGAATTTTTTTCAAATGTTTTTGCAATTATTACTGCTTTTTATTTTATTTTTATCTTTTTATTTTAAAAACATAATATAATGTTAAAATATTTTTCAAATATTTTTTTGTAAATATTATTATTTTTCTTTAATTTTTTAGTTTTTTGTAAATATTATTATTTTTCTTTATTTTTTCTATTTTAATTTTAAAAATATAATATAACTTAAAAAGATTTTGTTTATTTTTTTAAAAGATATCAAATATGAAATACACCATCATATTGGTTGGTGAACCCAAAAATAATTTTAGAAAAACAAAGAGCAAACTCAAATTTCAAACCGACCCAAGTTTAGAAGAAATTGTTAGAATTAATTAATTTTTAATTCAATTTATACACGTAAAAGTATATGACGATATACTATATACATACATTAATCTTCTTAAAACGAAGTGAAAAAAAAGTTTGATATTTCATTTTGGACCATCTATTAAAAATATATTAAATTTTACATAACTTATTAATAATATCTTTAACTTATATTTGAAATATAAATAAATATTCGGAAAAAATTCTAACAATTTTTTTAAAAAATCTTTTAGGATCTTTTCAAAGTATATTTTCGAAATTAAAGTTTAACTATCATCAAATCTAATTAAAATTAAAAATTAATTTATTTTTTATTTATAAACAAAAAATAAAAGTTATGTAAAAACTTATAGCAATATCTCAAAAATTTCTTCTTCGTTGTGTAGGTCTAAATTAATTAAATTTCACATATATTTCCAAATCATAAATAAAATAAAAAAATTATGTAAATTAATATTGTTGCATAATAATTTTATAAAAATAAAATTTGGAAAAATACAAAATAAAAGTGTTGTAATAATAATATTATAAGTCACTAAACATTATTATAAAATTAGATAGTAATAAATAAATTTTATTAATAAATTTATTATAAAACATTTAGTACTACAAAAAATTTAGTGCGGATCAACATCTAGTTTTCTTTAAGATAACTGAGTTTACAAAAAATACGTGTAGTATCTCCTTCTCGTTTGGTTGCCCTTGATTGTGATGGATCCTTCTTTCTGCTTGGATTGATGGCTAATGCTTGTATTTGGTTTCTTATGAAAATAAGTATATATTCAATGAAAAAAAAGACGTGTCATAAAAATAAACTTAACATTGGAAATAATATATTGTTTCATAATCCACAAGATCGATCTTTTTATTTATGAAAAACTAATAACATAATTTCTTAATTAAAATACAAAACAGATTCTAATAATGTCACTGAAATAATCTAAAAAAAAAAGTAAAAGATATGTGTTAGTTCAATTAGTAGTTCAAATGGTATTAATTTGTGTTTCATAGTTTAACGGTTTTTGCGGATTTATCAAAATTTTAAATAATAATTTATTTTCCCTAAAATCAAATCAAATTATATATTGGATCACCGAATTATAGAATTTGCCAACTCAACCGCGATATGGATCAGGTTTCAAAATATGGATTTACAATATTGCATATCCACTGAAGATATGTTTTACTTTAAAAAGAATGATTTTTAGACTTTTGAGTTTCAAAGTTACGTGTGATACATTTACACAATTCATTTTTATTTTATAATTTCTCATCTGGAAATTGTATATCCTACTTTTTCACTGTATCTCGTGCCTTTTATATAATATGGCCATATTACTCTTTATTTTAATTGGTAAAACCTACAAAAAATAAAAAATAAATTAATAATAATTATTTTTTAGAAAGTCTTAACTTCTTCTTAATAAAATTGAAGAAAGTGATTAGTCTCACTCCCATATTTGATCCACTGCTTTCATTCTCGGAATACCTTTGACTAAGAGAAGGATGTATGTCAAAGCTCTTTGCTTGACTCATAAATCTATGGAGTTGAGGACGTTAACAGCACCACGGCGAAGTTCACTCATCTCTTCTCGAATCATCTTCACCTTATTTTTTCCGTGAAGATCCTTTCACTTATTGTAAGTTCTGGTTGTCGGCTTGATTTATCTCCACCATAAAAAATTTTATCTGCTATTTGTATTACCTTGGGAACAATTTCAATCGATTGGTCAAGTCTAACAATTTTTTTTTATGTTGCATGTCAGCCTCTCCTTGTAAACGCAATCCATAGATGGATTTAGTATTTTTCGTTTCGAAGGTTTTTTTTTTTTTGTCTACTTTGAAATCATATTAGTTACTCAAACTAAATTGTATTGTGTTGCCAAATCTAGTTGTTTGTTAGTTGCTACTTCTCTGGGTTACTATACTACTTCACAATAACATAGTATAACATGAACATTTGACAGCGTCTATTTTCTAGTTCTTTATATGGTTAATGGAATGGACTGTGTCTACTATTCTATTTTACATAAAATAGACTCGCACGTCTTTTATGAACGCAATAGCCTTGTCCAACTAGGTGATGGAAGACATTCTATAATGCATGGATCTGCAGAATATGTAATAGAGTTTCTTATTTTGTAGAGTTTGTTTCTTGTTGGTGGAATATGTTTCATTCTCGGTGTCTTATAGTATACTTCTCTTTAGTTTACTTATCAATTGGTTTATATGCCTTTCATTAAGGTTTTCTTTGGTTTTCTTTGGTTTATCTTTTGTAGTTTGGTCTTATTATTTGTTGTATTTGACTGTTCATTCTATATCGCACCTATTTCATTCTAATGTTCATTATCTTTCTCAGGTTTATCATAAATGATTTAGGCGAACAAGTAGATTGTTTGAAATTGGATGTGAGCCCATTTGGTCAAAATAGGTTAATAACTATTTTGACCTCCGTTTGATTGAGCTGATCTGGATTTCATTAGAGGATGAGCTGACTGCTATTTAGTGTAGTTATTTATGTAAAATTACTATACTATGTAAGATATACTCTTCTTTTCTTTAAGTATTTGTATACTAGTTCCTTGAAATAGACAATCTGTTATGCTCTCAAAATTGATATTTTTTTTTCTCTATTATTTTGTGTGATTTGATACTTTTTAGCTTAGTTAAATTAGAAGTGTGTAGACAACGAATTTTTTTATAAATGAAATTGACTTACCCTAAAAATAGGCTTTATTTTGGTATATTTTATCATTATTTCTTACATAATTGAAATGGAATAGACTACACCATATATACTATGTATAGAAGTTCACTATAATGGAGTTTATATTTTTTAAATGAGTCACCATATTATATATACTTTATTTGGGTTTATACTTCCTTAATTAGGGTTTAGCTTTACTAATCAGTTATCTATCTTGTATTGTTGTATTTTTTCTGATAGGTTGGGGTTACTATTTTTGTTCCATACTATGGATACATCATTGAAAAATATAGTCAAACATGTATATTTTATATGTGGGTTTATAGTTTATAGGCTAGGGTTTATATATTTAGATGAGGGTTTTGGTATAGTTTGTAGTGGTAGTTTTCAGGGGGTGGGGTGGGAGTGGGTTACTGTTTAATGTTTGCCTGATCAGGTAAAGATAGTATACTAGAAAGTATGGAATAATACGGCGAAGGCTGACATGTGTTTTCGTATTTAAATGGGTGGGTAATGTTTTTGCAGTTCAATTAGTTTACTATACTATTTAGACTGCATGTAATAGAATATACGCAACATGCTAACCAAGTAAATGTGCTTTCAAATGTCTAATATTGAAAAGCAATTTATAAATTATATTTGGGTTTATAGATTCCTAACTAGGGTTTAGATATAATAGTCAGCCGTTGTAGATGGAAATTTCTTATGTATATTTTCCACCGCAGATTGGATGTTGTACTATGTCACTCAGAATAGTAGATTCACAATTTTTGGTAGTACTTCACTTTGACATTTATACATATGCGGTAAAAAAAAAGTGACACGGATGTCTTACCAAACTTCAATTTTATAGAATAGTTTCATAAAGGTGTTCACACCATAAACCTTTGACGTCATCTTTTTTTTTCTTTGATACCAACAACTTACATTTATGAAAGGTAAAATCAGGTGACATGAAACGTAAATGCTAATTTCTTCATTTCTGTCAATATCATTGTCATACATTTAATTTTATTTATGATTTTGGTTATTGGACAAATTATCCCTTAAATAAAAAGGTCTATGACAAAAGTTGTAAACCAAGGAAAAATAAAAATACCAGAAACCAAACAGTAACCAAACTTTTAGGCTCCGATTAGTAAGGATTGTTGTTTTATGACGTGGTTTTAAGTTTTAGGCTGTATAGAGTTTTTAAAACTTTGTCTTTTGTCTAAACTTTGAAATTGTGGCTTTAGAAAAACATGAATAGAATAAAAGAATATTTTTAAAAATTGATTTTAGAGGTTTTATACGGAATTCTAAATAGTAAAACCTAAAATTTGATGGTTTAAAATTTTAACTTTAATGATTTTTTTTTTTTACTTTAATGACCTTACAAAACTTAAAACCTATAAAGCCAGAATAGGCTTGGTAAATTGGACCGATATTTGACACCGTAAAATGCCAAAGGTGGTGTGGTCGACCACTTCGATCACGAAATCTGCCTTGTCTCCTCCATTAAACATCTCGCCTGAAAAACTCCGTTCTCTCTCTGGTTCTAAAGATGCAAGCTTTGTACATATTCGTCGTCTCTCTACTTCTCACCCTCAGTTACAGGGTTGGTTCTTATGTCTCCCACGGAAGCACCTCTACAAATCTATGTCTTATGGATCTAACTTTGAATGTTGGTAAATTGGATCGGCTTTTTGCGACAGGGAGAAGCGAGTGGTTCTGTTTTCTTCATTGATGGATCCAACAACCAATACCTTCGTCCCCCTTCAGAGCAGGTAATCATTCTCACTTGCCTCATTGGTCTTTGTGAGAAATTATGTTCTCTCGTTTGGGCGTATAGATCAGGTCAATGTAGTAGGCTGATTCCGTTGAAGCAATACAATAGATCCATTGTTTGGTCTTAAGTGGCACCAAATTGATGTTTTTTTTTCTTTTTCATTTTGGCTCTTCACTAATATATTCCAAATTCACTTAGTGACTTGGTAGTTTTTTTATCTACCAACATAGGAAGTGTTTGGGCATTATTAGATGTATATATTTCTTCTAATAGGTACTTACTTATCTTCTTCGTTTGATATGGAAATCCACAGGCGCTTCCCATGTCTCTCTCAGAAATATCTGCAGCAGTGTCTGCCTTGTTGGGGTTTTCACCTCCACCTACTTTGACACCTGATGGCTCCTCCAAGGTTTTCAAATGCTATACTGAATTTTGCTAGTTTATATTCTTGGTTAAATTCCTGTATTTGATCATCCTTATTTTTTTTTGTTGTAGCTGAACTAGATTCTAAAACCTAGTCCATTTGAGAGGCCTCGTACTGCTTTTGTGCTAGAAATCGCTGGAGCTGATGGTATGCAAATACCTAATAACACTGGAAACCTTTAGTTCTCTGACATGAACCAAAAAGTCTAAGTCTAAAACATCCAAGTGTTTTTTCTTGTACTTGCAGATGCGCTGGTGGAAACCTTACCTAGTCAGTCTTTCTTGGAAAATGCCATAAGAGGCAGTATCAGCTCTGATTCTTACAAAGCTGATATTGAACTTCCAGGTGCCGTGATAGCTTGACTATCAGAACTATCTGATAAGCATTAATAGTTTCTAGTTGTCTTCATTTGGGTTGAATGAAGTCTTGCTTTGGGTATATTACGTTAATTTTTTCAAAGTTCTGCAGAAAGTGGAGTGGCTGTTATTTCTGTCAATGAACTCTCATCTGCTATGAGTGACAAAGACATGAATGAGTTTGTAAGTTAACAAAGACTGTCATATCACGTGCAAACACTTTTGGCTGCCTTTATTCAGTTGTGATCACTAGCTAATGACGTGGTTGTATTATATGTAGGCATCTTGGTTAGGTGGATCTTACGTTACTGGCTCTGCTGAACCATTGACTGGATTGCTTAGTATCCCTTTGGCTGGTGGTGGTAACGTGGAGTTCCATTTGGAAAAGGTGGTTCCATGAAATTGTTAACTCCATGAAATTGTATGGTTTCCAAGGATGAGGTTCCGGAATTGGTTATAGATCTTGTGATTTCCGTTTGAAGAAAGCTTCATTACCATGTGCAGGAAGCAGAGAGGAAATTTGCATCCAACCTATTGGCTCTATATACGAATATAAAAGGGGTAGTCAATCTTCATGAGGATTTATTTCATGCTGAGTTAACTGTTGGACGCTTTGGCGGTATCGATGTAAGAATTGTCCTTGGTCCTGTTTCTTTTTCTAGTACTTTCTTGCAGAGCTTGTCAATGTGTCTAATATTATTTATTCTCGTTTGAAATTACAGGCTTTAGCACAGGAGTATGGACAAGGTATGGCTAAGCAAGGGATGGATGTTCTGCTTGCCACACTGTCAAAGCTCTTCGATCTGTTGGAGACATCTCATAAAGGTGAAATGACTCTTTTATTTGATAAACTCATTTTCAAAATATGTGCCTTAGCTCAAGATGATGGACTCTGAATGAAAACTCCTCAACGGAAAAATACTACATACTTAATCCCCTTGAATGTGTTTCTTTTTCTTTACTGTTTGTATGTAAGATGAGAAATGTTTGGGCTGTTGCAGGCCAAATTGTTGGAGTGATCGTCCTCGATGAGAGAGTACAACAAGAATCAGCTAATTTGCTGAGCGTTGGCTCTTCTTATGGTTCATCTGCACGGTCGATGGCTGAGGTAGAGGGGGTTCCCAGTGCAGCCATTATCGCTCAAGTTATACTTGTTAGGCTGACGCTTGCATGGTTAACTGGAATAATCCTTCTCATTGCGACTCTCCTTGGGGTAAGTTCACTTATCCTCTCTTCAGTCAATGAACTATCCAGCAGAGTTGAATCTTATGACTGTCCTGCTAAAGAATCATATTATAATTTGTAGCTTAGTATTGGACATATATGTCGTTGGAGTTGACCAGCTGTGTTTTAAAAAGCGCATGGCGAACCAAGGCGAGACGGTCTGTGCCTTGCGCCTTGCGCCATGGCGAACCAAGGCGCTCGCCTTGATGACCAAAGTGGAAATCTCGAAAGTTGTTTCAATTGGTTTAAAAAACCTTCATACTTGGTTTATTAGTCTATTAGTTACGTTAGTTCATTAAAATAGATTGAAACTACACATGGTTTAGTGAATTAAACCGGGTCTAGTTATTATTTAGGGTTAATTAGGTTACACTTAACCGTTTTCTTCACCTAGAATATGTAATAGACGGCGGCTATGTCAGATTACGTAAATAGGACATGAACTGAGTTAGGTCAAAACATAATGTTTTGATAGGAATCTATAAGGCGCGCCTTTTAAGCGCCTTTGTTGCTCTAGATTTAAGCTAAAAGCGCACAAGGCGAGCGCCTTAGGAACCATACCCTCGCCTAGGAGGTTCATGGCAATAGACCCCTCGCCAGACCTCGCCTTGCGCCATGGCGAAGAAGGCGAGCGCCATTTTAAACACAGTTGACCAGTCTTGCTCTCATGGTCGTTGCAGGTGTATTTCCTTATGTACATGCCTTTGACGAAGGACACGCTCCTATACTCAAACGTGAAGCTCGATTAAGACGTAAAATAAAGCAAAACGTCAAAATCTTCACGTTGATCGTTTTCATCTTTTTGTGTGTATCAACAACCCAGTCTTATTTAAATGTTTAAGAGAAGGGTGACACTTTTTGTGACCAGACCAGTGGATTTGTTTATTTCTGTGTATATGGATTTGTTTGATGCGATTTGATGTATTATTGAGGTAACTTTTACCAATTGAAGACCAACATTATATGACCAAAAGATATATAGTTTTAATCAAAATTGATGCATATATTTTAGAAACAATCACTCTCACCGTTAACCTTTCTAAAACATGTTATACGGGTTGGATACAAAATTAGTACTTACAAACTTTCGGAAGCTTAGTACAAGTAATGTATTTAGGTTAGGGGTGGGCACAATCCGAGTACATGATATTTTTGGTATACTTAATACCCGACTTGGTTTGTACGAGTAGTAAATATTTTGACTTGTACTTGGTTTGCTAAAAACGAATACTTGCAGTTTTAAGTACTTACAAAAAATTGAAGAACTTGTAAGTTACCTGACTTATTTTATTACTTGTTACTTGTAAATTATTTACAATTTCATTCATAAATATTTGTAAATTATTTATAATTTCTTATAATTTAACATTACATAACTTTATTATATATAAATAATATGTCATTGTTTTCTTGTATTTAAATCATTCGGAAAATAGACTATAGTAGAAAGAGAAAATTTTAAGATGCTTATATTAATATAACACTTATGTTTTCTATACTTATGAAGAAAGAAATAAAAATGAATTATTTTACTATGATTTAGGAAAATGTATTTTGTTTATTAACAAACACAAGTAACAAATAAAAAATCATTAATTTTATTTAATATTTGATTTTTTATATTTACAAATAGTTTAAATAGACTACTTAATACTTAACTTGATACTTAACTTAGTACTTAACTTGGTCAGAACAAATACTAATTTTTAAAGATCATATACCTATCAAATAATGAATAAGAGACAAATAACGAGTAATTGTGGTCACCAATAAAATATAATACATAAATGTAAAAAACTAATAAAATAGATATATGTATTTAATAAACCAAGTAATATATAAAAAATAATAAAACAAGTAAATGATAATAAGTAATAAACCAAATAAATTATAACAAGTAATAAACCAAATAACAAACCAAGTAGTTAAAAATAAGAATGAACTTGATATTTGACTTGTACTTACGAATATTAAAATCTGTTTAATTGTTATTCGACTTGATTATAGCAAGTACTTGTTTTTTCAAACCGAGCCGAATCAAGTAACAAGTACAAACCGAGTATCAAGCCTTTACGTCCAGCCCTAATTTAGATTTAGACTTGACTTATTTGAAACAAGTACTTGATATATCAAGTATTGGAGAGAAAAATCAACAATTACAAGTTACTTGACCTTGCTTATTATTTGTCAAAATCAAGTATTTATTTTTAGAATATTTATTATTTGTAAGTATATATATATACATATATATATATATACATATATATATATATATATTTCTATGTATAATCTCATACAAATATAAGCATATGAATTTTCTATTTTTAGTAATGAACTTTCTTTTGTCAAATTCAGTATTTTTATTTGATTTCAATTACAATATAAACAAAGGAGAAAGATTTTATCAGGTAATAATTTTTCAAAGTTGTAACAAGAACTTTTTAGAATGAGTAGTAAATAGTAGGTAACAAATCAAGTAACAGAACACATAGACGGTTTGTCTTGCAAAAAATGTTAGAAATCAATTGTCTTTTATCGTTTATATGGATGAAGAGTTATTGGTTTAGTTTGTAGAGTCGTAATTGAGTTTGTTTATGTTGTTGACAAAAAAAAAATCAAGTAACAAAACTAGTATTAAAGGATTGAAACTTTATACGGATGCTTCTGGTCAAATGATAAATTATTCCAAATCATCTATTATTTTTGGGAAACACGTCAATGATGAGACCAAACAGGCTATAAAGGAAATTTTGGGCATCGAGAAAGAAGGTGGAGAAGGCTCGTACCTGGGTCTCCCTGAATGTTTTCAGGGTTCAAAAAAAGACCTTTTAAACTTTATTAAAGAAAAGCTAGAAGGAAGATTACAGGGTTGGTATTCTAAAACTTTATCTATGGGTGCCAAAGAAGTTTTAATAAAATCAGTCGCTTTAGCCCTTCCTGTTTACGCAATGCCAGTTTTCCAATTACCAAAAGGTCTTTGTGAAAGGATAACGAGTGCTATAACTGAATTTTGGTGGAGTAGTGGAGATAAGAAAAGGAAGATTCCATGGGTATCATGGGAAAAATTATGTAAACCTAAGGAACATGGAGGTCTTGGGTTTCATGACATCGGTCGTTTCAATCAAGCTTTGTTGGGGAAACAAGCTTGGAGAATTTGGAACAACCCAGAATCTTTGGTTTCAAAAATTTTGAAAGGCAAATATTTTTAAAATGGTGATTTTCTGGACTGTGGTATGGGAACCCGTCTTTCGTACGCCTAGAGGAGTATCATACATGGTCGAGAATTGCTAAAAAGGGTTTATATCGGCATATTGGTAATGGATATATATCCAATGTGTGGGCGGAAAACTAGATTATCGACAATATTCCTCGTCCGCCAATGTATCGGGAGAATAGTCCCATCAATTTAGCATTAAAGGTCTCATATTTATTGGTTCAGGGATCGAACCAATGGGATGAAAATCTACTACACCAAACATTCACAACGCAGGATGTTCAGAGAATATTAAAATTGAAACCAGCTTTGTTGCAAGAGGATTCTATTATATGGGGATTTACATCAAATGGATCATACTCAACCCGCAGTGGGTATAAACTTTTGGAGGCTTTGGTGGGTATTGAACACCCACACGTCCACTCTCTCTCTCCTATTGAAAAAAATTGTGGAAAGATTTATGGAAAATAAAAGCTTCACCAAAAATTAAGCATTTTATGTGGCGTGCTCTGTCAGGTGCTTTAGCGGTCAAACAAAGATTAAATACAAGGGGTATTACAATTGATCCGACTTGCAATATATGTGGTAATGGGGCTGAAAGCATATGTCATGTCCTCTTCACATGTGATAAAGCAAAGGCGGTATGGGAGCAAGCCCAGGTCCCAATACCATCAGGAGGGTTTTCAAGGAATTCTACATTTTTAAATTTCCTGCATTTGATAAAAATTGAGAAAAATTCGATAACGGAGTTTCAGTTAGGAAAAGTTTTTCCTTGGTTGTTGTGGGAAATCTGGAAAGCTCGAAATGACTTCATTTTTAAATCCAAGGATAATGAGGCCTCATATATTGCTAAAAAAGCTTATGAAGAGGAATCCACTTGGTGTGATACGTTCACAAAAGATACAAGGGGTGGGACCAACGTAAATAAACTCATGTGGAAAAAACCCCCAAAAGGTTTTCTCAGATGTAACGTTGGTTCCTCCTGGGTAAGCGTGAATCGTAGTAGTGGTGCTTCGTGGATCCTACGTGACGATAGAGGATGTACACTCATGCATAGTCGTCGAGCTTACTCATGTATGCGTTCAAAGGTAGAGGCTGACCTGTGGACCCTTTTTGGGTAGTGGAGTGTGTACAGACTTTGCATTTCTCAAACATTATTTTCGAGACGTCATCTGAATGCCTACGCAATCTTCTATCCCAGTCGAGTGATGATCAAAGGTTCAGCCACACCCGCCACAGCATATCACTACTTCTCGCACGAATAGAAGCTTGGAGCATTGACCACACATTCTCTAAACGAAATGGTGTTGCTGATGCTATTGCTCTTAGTATCACTCGTGATCTTCGGCATCAATCGTAAATTGCCCGAAACGCTCCAGCCTGGCTTCACAGACTTCTCGCATTGGAGGCGAATTAGGTTTGGCTTTGTATGAGTTTATCTAGGCCTTTATTGTCTTCTGACATGTTTTTTGCCTTGTATCTCATGCGTGACATTTTCTCTTTCTCCCTTTGTTTGAACATCAGTATTATAAAAAAAAAACTAGTATTAAAGGATATAAAAATACTTGATATTTTACTTAAACTTAATAAATAATTAAATTTGTCGGCTTGTTTTCAGATTTGACAATGTTAAATTCCTGATTTCTAAGACAAAAGATGGCAAGTAACGGATGTGAGAACCAAACGATATGCACTAAAAATTCTAGAGACATGTATGATTATGGAACGAACATTTTAAAGCTTTCGATCTTGGGGGTATGCCAGCTAGAGGATTTCATTAGCTTCTCTCAAACAAATATTTGGCCAACCACCAAAATGCCCGAGCTCCAAAAATTCATTATAGCCTGCGATCTATCATTTCTATTTAAAAAAAAAAAAGGATAGCCTGCGATCTATCATTTCTAAAACTGAAGATGATTGAGAGAGTTTGGACTTTGCAATGTTATGCATTAAATCATTTTGTTTTAACACATAAAATGAATCAATTTTATAAACTTTTTCTTCTACTGTTCACATGGATAGCGTTAGTGGACTTGCCCACATGCGTGCACCAATGTAACATCATTCATAGGAAGTTACAGGCATGTTCAATACCATTAGTAACTATTAATGCAAATCTGATTGCTAAGATTTCAGGGTTTGGGGCCAGCAAAGTGCTTTCTGAGGGTGAGTTATCATTTGGTTTTCTTGACACATGTAAGTTCATTCAGTTTTAAGCTCTGAGGAAAAATTAACTCTGTAATGAATGCATCATCCGTTTTAAACCTTTTTCTACCGATGGTAGTCCCATTTGGCAAGCTATGGATCAGCTTCTCGTTGTTATATCCAGCTTAGGTTCTCTCAACTTCCACATCATTTCACAAACATCCATTTGGTGATGGTGTAGACGCTGATATTGTTGACAACATCAAGGAAGGCAGATCACATCTCACCCTAGTGGATGATTATCCTAAAGCTCGAAATCTCATTCACACTTTGTCGAATATAGCGTACCTGAAAAGCGGCAATGTCACATTTTGTTAATGTAAAATTCAT